AATTTATCGAATGGAATGTTCAAAACCACATAAAAAAAATTGTAGTGCATCCAAAAATCACATACTACCCTAAAATATAGTGTGTTAAAAATAGTATTTGAAAAACAGCAGGTGAGATTCTGAAGTACGCATTCCAACAGTATACTATCCCATGAGGCCCGGCGATAGAATTTATAAATGTAAATTTGAGTAAAGCGACGCAACTGACGCATGTAGGTCATGTGATAATGACAACAAGGCGTATGTAGTATGTGCAAATTCCATTCATACTATATAGTACAAACTGTACTAAAGGTAGTGAAGTTCAAACTCAAATGTAGTACCTACACGAATAGTATGCGATTTCGAATGCGATGTTTTGAACAATATTAGGTTTTTCGTAACTTACTCGAAACTTTACAAGAACATATTTTCATTGTGATTTTATCCCCTTCACGTCACTTTTCACAATCCAAACAGTTCCCAACATTGTGATCTTGTTTTACTCGTTATAGATATCAAATGTATCGCGAATGCTATTTCATGTTGACTTTAACGCCATCCAGCAATGCTAATACTGCGTATGGTTAGCTTTGTACAATAACCCCGACATTACTTTTCCACTCCTTAGACACGCTTCCTTCACGACACTAAGAAACACTTCCTCACAGTATGTCAACAATTACACCGCACCACTAAAACTTCTCATATAAACGATATGAAATGAAATATTACGTCTCTGGGCCGCGACAAAAACAACTGAAGCCATCTACCACAAGGTTTCCCTCCGCCAGGACGCGTCTAGCCAATGGTTCATATACATGTAATGTGCATTAGAACTTCATGGACGGCTGTCACCCAACCTGTGAGAGTAGTACAATATATTTTCCAAGAGGCTGATTAAAAATATTGTAGTTTGTGCGGAGGTGCCGGGAATTGTCGTCGCCTTTGTTACTCAGAAGAGAGTGCAGCGCTTGCCGCGTTTTTTGACGGGCGGAGGGCAGAGGACGGCACGGATGGCCTCGTCAAATACAGTCTTTAGACCACGCTGAGTTAGAGCCGAGCACTCCAGATACTTCACAGCACCTGCGGCAGAAAGGCAAGAACACACAGTTGAAGTCAGAATTATTAGCTGCGCTGTATACATTGTTCTGTTAAAAGAAAAGAAGATTTTTTTTCAACACATTTCTGAAAATAATAGTTTTAATAATTTCTTTTATCTTTGCCATGATGACAGGACATAATATTCATTCCTTCATTTTCTTAGTCCCTTTATTAATCCGGGGTCGCCACAGCGGAATGAACCGCCAACTTATCCAGCAAGTTTTTACGCAGCAGATGCCCTTCCAGCTGCAACCCACATCCACACAAACACTTATACACTACAGACAATTTAGCCTACCCAATTCACCTGTACCGCATGTCTTTGGACCAAGTGGTGCTCGCTGCAGAGCCATTTGAGGAGAGCTGAGCTCCAAGGAGGGGGAGCTTAAGCTTGAGCTCCACCTTTTTTGCACTTCTTCTACGAGTGATGTCACTGGGGGTAGGGTTAGGGGTGGGGTTGGTGTACGCATTAAAACAGCTTACAGGAGGAGGAGCGACAGCTCATGCTCCCCCTCGCTGGAGCTCAGCTCTCCTCAAATGGCTCTGCAGCGAGCACCCTCTCCTTTGGACTGTGGGGGAAACCGGAGCACCCGGAGGAAACCCACGCAAAGGCAGGGAGAACATGCAAACTCCACACAGAAACGCCAACTGAGCCGAGGTTCGAACCAGCGACCTTCTTGCTGTGAGGCGACAGCACTACCTACTGCGCCACTGCCTCGCCAGGACAAAATATTTTACTTTAATAAGTGACATTTAAAGGCTTAATTAGGTTAAAGTTAGTGTAATTAGGCAAGTCATTGTATAACAGTGATTTGGTCTGTAGACTATACATAACAATTATTGCTTAAGGGGGCAAATAATATTATTATGAGCCCCCTAATTATTATTTATTATACAGAGTGGGCCATTTATATGGATACACCTTAATAAAATGGGAATGATTGGTGATGTTAACGTCCTGTTTGTGGCACATTAGTATATGTGAGGGGCAGGGCCGGAGCAAGCTGAACTGCCGCTCTAGGCAGAGGATGATCATGCCGCCCTCAACCCCAATGTGAAAACGAAGGTGACTGGTTATGAAAATGAAGTGAGGCGTCGCAGACCTTTTTTCTGCCGCCCTATGCGCAGATATAACTGAGGACGCGCGCGGGTGCTGAAGGAGGGAGGGAGGGAAGTGTCGCGGACACCGTGCTCTCTATTCTGCCGCCCTATGCACGGATGTAACCGAAGACACACGGGTGCTGATGGAGGTGTCGCTGACGCCGCCCTCTCTATTCTGTCATCTATGCGTGAATATATCTGAGGACGCGGGTTGTGAGGGAGGTGTCGCGGACATAACTGAGGATGCAGGTGGTAAGGGAGGTATCGCGGATGCTGCCCTCTCTATACTGCCGCCCTAGGCGGCCGCCTAGGTCGCCTTAATGGATGCGCCGGCCCTGGTGAGGGGGCAAACTTTTCAAGATGGGTGGTGGCCATTTTGAAGTCTGCCTTTCCTGATCCAACTGTTTTTTTTCAATAGGAAGAGGGTCATGTGACACATCAAACTTATTGGGAATTTCACAAGAAAAACAACGGTGTGCTTGGTTTTAATGTAACTGACCACTTATAAAATGTGTTCAATGTGCTGCCCATTGTGTTGGATTGTCAATGCAACCCTCTACTCCCACTCTCACACACTAAAATACGCATCCAAATTTAGGTGGGCCAAGCTTGTTGACACGGGGACTGGTGGAAGAGTGCTCTACTAATTAAATTTGATACGGCACGTTAAATGAAGAGAAAACAACCCTCTGCATTTCGCGACGCAAATGTGTCATTAAGTTTGACATGTTACACGCAACCTTTGTAAAGCGTCTGCTTCACGTTGCTGTGTCAGAAGCCTTGCTTGTAAAATACGCTTTAGAGCGCTTAGTTTAAGGAAATTTGATGAACGCGATCATCCGTGTTGATCTGAAGAGAGTCACGTCGCTCTCGCTCACCGAATGCGCTGTACTGCGTGCGTCGCCTGTCCATATTCCTCAAAGTTGTTTACAATGAAATATTTAGAGATGGTGTGACAACGTGTACCTATGTGTGCCTTTGATGCACCCTTTGATGCTTCTTACGTCCTTGTCGCAGCATCAGTGGCACCGAAATTAGGCACCGAAATTCATTTGCTGATTTGATCTGGTACATACCGGTTACAAAGGGTACCGGTGCTATAATGGCACCGGGTCTCGGTACCCAACCCTACTTTTTACTTGTACTTTGAGTAATATTTACAGCAGATACTTTTACTCTACACTACGTTTTTGGGCAAGTAATAGTACTTCTACCCAAGTTTGATTTAAAAATAATAAGAATTGCTTTAATTCTAGCTGAAATAAAACAAATAAGACTTTCTCTAGAAGAAAAAATTATATAGGAAATACTGTGAAAAATTCCTGAAAGCCAAGAAAGTCTCGGGCTACAGACTAATGCCACCAAGAGCCCTTCTCTAGCAGCTGACGGTGGCTCTCTTAGGAAAAGCCATGTTGGTTTCCGAACATCTTTCTCCTCCCCCATGTGTCCAGCAGAAAGACAATGGCCATCTTTGTGTGTCCTTCTCCACTCCAGCATATGACGGCATAACCAGCGGCCCACTAACTCATTATACAAACACGCCTGCGCTAGCGGATGGACATTTGTTCCTGTGGCCGTTCATAAATCACATTTTTTAATCCGTTTAGCCAATCTCCAGGCTGGCAGGAGCATTATTAGCCTAGCTGAGCGTTAATAATTGAATCAGATTAGACCATTAACATTTTGCTCAAACATATCAAAACAAAAAGTTTTGATAATTTTGCCTACATCTAAAGCTTGACTCTTCTGTAGTTACGTCATTTACTAAGACCAACGCAAAATGAAAAGTTGTATTTTCTAGGCTGTTATAGTTAGGAACTATACTCTCATTCTGGCGTAATAATTAGGGATGTAACGGTATTGTAAATACCGTCATACAGCAATATAAATTTTTTTCGATATTACCGAAGTCGCATGACTCGGTAAAACTATAGGTCTTCTGAGAAAATTTGCTCAGGCGAATGAAGCGAACGGGAGGTAGCTTAAACTACAATTCCCATCAGCCCAGGCTTGGCCATAATCCCTTGCGGTCTGTTGTCGCTACAGATCCAGTAATGTGGAAATGGAGTGTGATGCTAGAAGCGGGGATGGAAAAGTGCTGGAAAACCCTAAAGCGGGTGTTGTCGCCGCGCGCGTACTGAATAGCGGTGTTTTCAGCACACTGTTCAGATTGATGCAGACATGAGATCTCTATCTCACTCATGGTTTGTCCTCTCAAGTGGAGGAAAGACAATGCACAATGTTACCCACTGCTGTCAACCTGGGCCAAGTCATATCTCTCTGTCCCAGAAACCTCAGTCCCAAATGAGAGGGTTTTTTTCTGTTGCAGGGGACATTGTAAATACCCAGAGATACCAGCTTTTACCAGATTATATTTATATGATAATTTCCCTTTAAACCCATCTCTATCTAAGTGAGTGAGTGATTAAATGTTGAATGTGATGAGTTTTCAACAATACTAAATTGAAACTTTATTTTTTTACATGGTTAAATATTTTTTTGTTATTAAAATTGAAGTTCCTGTTTCAAAGCTTACAGATAGATGACTAATTTGTATGTCATTGACACTTTTGGCACTTTTTTGGTGTATTTTCATAAGTTTTGTTTTTTCCTGTAAATAATTCAATAAATACCGTACCGTGACATTAATACCGAGGTATTACCGTACCGTGAAATTCTGATACCGTTACATCCCTAGTAATAATCAAAGAACTTTGCTGCTGTACCATGACTGCAGCAGGAGCAATAATATTACACAGTGCTATTACTTAGGCCCCGTTTACACTAGTGCGTTTAGTTTTAAAACGGTGTTTTAGATCAAAAACGATCCGCGTCCACACTAGCGTTTCACCTAGCGTTTCTGAACATATGTCTGTCCACACTACGCCACCAAAAACATATATCACGTGACTATTCGCGCACTCTGGGTATGCACGTTCTAGTATAAACAGGAAGCATACGTCTCGCTCGGCATTTGGTTATTGTTAGTCAACAAACGCCGATTGAACAATGAACGCGATGGCAAAGAAAGCAAGAGAGGTATTTTTGTGGATAGACGACGAGGTCGAGTTGTTACTAAACGTAACAAATGAATAACTGCACAATGCCGCCTAAAACAGACAATAGTGCAAACAGCGCTCCCATTTCTGTGTCCATGTTGTTGTTTACAGTGAAGGCTGATCTGCTGTCTTCCAGTAGCGTTAAGCCATGTGTTATAGTCATGTGATAGGGCCTTGACGAATAAGGGAAGGATACGCAATGAACCAAAAGCCCCAATCAGGTAGCGAATCTCGGCAGCCCCGCCTCCGTTTTCAGATGTCTCCGTTTTCCCCCATCCACACTGAGATGGAGCAGCAGCGTTTCCAAAATGCTCCGTTTTTGGCGCTTGAAAACTCTGGCGTATTGTGGATGGATGGCGTAACCGTATCAAACCTATGTGTTTTCAAACTAAAACGCATTAGTGTAAACGGGGACTTAGTTACCCAGCTGAGGACTTTATTCAGGCATTGTCTTAGTACACAATGTAACTACAGAAGAGTTACAGAGAATATGATCAAAACTCCCTTTTTGAGCGAGATGCTAATGGTCTAATCCGATTCAATGATCTATGCTAAGCTAAGCTAAAAGTGCTCTAGGCAGACTTAAAAATCGGCTGATTGGATTCAAAAGTAGTAAAAGTTGTAGGGAAGCTGTAAAATAACAAGGGAACAGGGAAGAGGTGGAACAAAAAACAAAGCATCTACGCACCGATCTCGCGGGCCATCGCCAGGCCTTGTGGGTAAGTGATGGGCGATAGTTTTTTGTCCCGCAGCCTCTCGATGGTGTCCTTATCATCTCGCAGATCCAGTTTGGTGCCCACCAGTATAATGGGTGTGTTGGGACAGTGATGCCGCACCTCTGGGTACCACTGCAGCACAGAACATCACTCTCAATGTCATGTTTTTGTGAATCAGAGGAATGCGCGTTTTTTTTGCATGCCGTTCTCTGAAAAAACAAAACAAACAACAAAAAAACACCAACCTTTGCACGGACGTTCTCAAAGGACGCAGGGCTCACCAAGGAAAAGCATATTAAAAACACATCCTGTAGAGAAAGCAGAAGGAAGATGAGTTGATGAGTTGTTTTAAATGACATTTGCTAGCCTAGTTTCATTTTTGTACCCACTATCTGTGCAGAGATGAGAGTCCTTTAAGGATCACTGAGATACCGTTCATTATATTTATAAGTTAACAGAATCTCTGGGATGCTTAACTCTCGTTTCTGCACAGAAAGAGGATAAAAGAAATGAAATTAGCATTGCAAATTATTTTTCATTTGGTCATTTTTTAATTTTTGGCCATTTACTTTTTAATAATGTGTAAATTATTTATAGTTTTTTTTTTTGGTAAAACTAAATTTAAGCTAAAAATTATATACAATACATCAATATTTGGTGAAATAACCCTGATTTTTAGTCTCAAAAAATTTTATTAATTTGATATTCTTAACAACTGTCATTTAATTAAAAAACAAATCTCTAAATGAAACTGTTGATATTTTAGATTTTTCATTAGCTCTCTCTCTCTCTCACACACACACACACACACAATTATTAGCCTTCTTAATTAATACGTGAGATATTAACAGAGATTTTTCAACACATTTTGAAACAATCGTTTTAATAACTCATTTATTTTGTATTTGTCATGATCACAGTTCATAGTATTTCACTGGATGTTTTTCAGGAGACAAGTATTCAGCTTAATGTTTTCAATTTAAAGGCTTAACTAAGTTAATTAAGGTTAATTATGCAAGTTAGTTCAATTGTTCAAGTCAATGTGTAACAGTGGTTTGTTCTGTAGCCAATCGAAAAGAAAATAAATAATAAGGGGGCTAATAATATATATATATATATATATATATATATATATATATATATATATATATATATATATATATATATATATATATATATATATATATATTGTCCATAGATTTTTATATTTTATTTTATTCCAAACAAAGTAAAAGATACACATATACAGTACTGTACATAAAGTGTCTCTAAAGTGTAAATCTGCTCTCGTATTTTTTTAAATCAGTTTTTAATTTTTATTTATTTAATTTAATAAATAGATCAAATAAATATAAACATTCATTGAATGTTTCAATGAGTAAGTGTCACATTTCATATTTGCTCTTGAACGTGTCTGCAATCGAATAATCCATTTTAGTCTATAAATTATTTTTTATTCAGACAAATTGTGTGCAGGGCGGCATAGTGGCTCAGTGGTTAGCACTGTCACCTCGCAGCAAGAAGATCGCTGGTTTGAGTCCCGGCTGGGCCAGTAGTCACTCCTGTGTAGAGTTTGCATGTTCTCCTTGTGTTGGTGTGGGTTTCCTCCGGGTGCTCCGGTTTCCCCCACAGTCCAAACACATGCACTATAGGGGAATTGGATTAACTTAATCGGCCATAGTGTATAAGTGTGTGAATGTGAGAGTGTATGGGTGTTTCTCAGCTCTGGTTGCGGCCGGAAGGGCATCCGCTGCGTTATACAGGAATAGTTGGCGGTTCATTCCGCAGTGGCGACCCCTGATATATAAGGGATTAGGCCGAAGGAAAATAAATGAATGTGTTCAATCACGCACCGTCTGCGGGTATGAGAGTGGACGGAGGCGGTCATAATCCTCCTGTCCTGCTGTATCCCATAAGCCAAGGTTGACTGGTTTACCATCCACCATCACATTGGCAGAATAGTTGTCAAATCTGAAAACAAAAAGCATATTCACTTAATGAAACATTTAAAGAGGACCTATTACGCCCCTTTTTACAAGATACTTAATAAGTCTCTGATGTCACTAGAGTGTGTGTGTGTGTGTGTGTGTGTGTGTGTGTGTGTGTGTGTGTGTGTGTGTGTGTGTGTGTGTGTGTGTGTGTGTGTGTGTGTGAAGTTTCAGCTCCAAAATACCACACAAATATTGTTTAAAACTCTTTAAAGTTGCCCCCTTTTAGGCTTTGATCCTAATTGTGTCGTTTTGGTGACTGTCGCTTTAAATTCAAATGAGATTGTGCTCTCTTCAAAAGAGGGCGGAGTTACAGATGCCTATGTGTCAGCATAGTGGCAGATTCAAAACAGGACTAACACCATGTAAAAATGTGAATAGTCGCTGACATAATCTTCAGCAGGTAAAAGCTCAAATGGTGGACGGCTGCTTCTCACGCAGGGCTGTTTATGCTAATGAGGGAGAGATGGTCACTAGTGGGCGGGGCTTTCCCCCTCTGACGACACGTACAAAGGGAGAATGTCTATCAAGTGTGATTATGAACAATAGAATGAATTCATTTTTATCATTAGCTGGTTATATTCACACACAACTGTGCTTAAACTCCTTATAAAAGTGATTTTTGCATATTAGGTTCTCTTTAAAACAAGATAAAATGCATCAATCATCATTAAAGATTTTATTCCAAGCCATTAACCGTTCCTGAATGCTCATTTATCTTGAAGATAACGGAGGCAATTACCCAGAAATAGTCATCGTTATTTCTATAGCGCTTTTACAATGCAGATTGTGTCAAGGCAGCTTCACACAGATGAAGAAAATAAGAGTAAAACATTCCAGAAATTACAAAAACATTCCAAAATGTCACCGAGAAACATGGCATCACATGTTTGGAATATTTCCTCTTCAAGGCATCACTTATAGTTCATTAGCTCTTTAGAATGGTCGGCTAATTGTCTTATTGTAATGTAAATCACTGCTGTCGCACGCTCTTCAACAGGCCTCAGATCAGCAGTAGATCACTACAAACACAGCTAATAAATGCTGACTATATAAAAACAGAAATGAACTTCTATTCTGTAGAATTAATGATTTATTTAATTTATAAGGGCCATGTCAAAACTGTTGAAATTGTTAATAAAAAAATAAATTAATTTAAACCAAATAAAGCCTAGTATATTATTTTATTATCTAAGGCTTTTACATGATAAACATTATAAACTATTTGCTGAATAAAATAAAATAAAAACTTTGTACATAATCCACTATATGCCATCCGACCTTTAGCTAGTAAAAAAAAAGGTTAAATTTTTTTTTTGTGTGAATTTTTTTAATGTTTTTAAAGCGCAAACATAAGAATCACTTTTATATTGATAAGAAAATCTCACAATGAATACATTCTGGACTGATCCAACTTAGGTTTACTTTAATACACATATAATATTAAAAAAAACATCTTAAAATGTACAGTGCTCAGCATAAACGAGTACACGGCGTACAGCCCTCTTTTAAAAGAACATTTTAAACATACATATTTGATACAATAACATATGTGTGCACGTATATTAGACAAGTCAGTAGTGAAGAAAAAACTGTAAATAATCCAACAACAACAAAAAAAATGAATATGTTGGGGAAAAATATGAAATGGTTATTAAAAAAGAAAAATCAAGAGAACCATAAAGAATATAATACTTATTTGAAATTTTGTAGTTTTTTTTTTTTTTTTGCAACACCTCATTTGAAATTAAATAGGAATCTTTCTATTCCTAAAGATGTTCATTGACTAAACTCTTATTTTAATAAATATAACTGTTCAATAAAACTGTTTTTAATGCACAAAACATTTGATCTATATTCTTTGAGAAAAAATATGCATTTTCAAAAGATGTGTACAAAAGTGTACTCATTAATTTGAATTTTTAAAAAAATTCATTCATTCATTAATTCATTTTCCTTTGGCTCAGTCACTTTATTCATCGGGTCACCACAGCGGAAAGAACCACCAACTATTGCAGCATATGTTTTACACAGCGGATGCCCTACCAGCTGAAAGGCGGTATTGGGAAACACCCATACACTCTCATGTTCACACTCGTACACTACGGCCAATTTAGTTTAATGTATTAATTACGACACTAAAACTTTTTAATCGTATATATTTTTTTATTACAACATATAATTGGGGATATAGAGAGACACCGCTAACATTTATATGCGTTTTCTGTAAGTGATCTGTTTAAACATCACATTAATGTACATTATTACAAGCTGTTAAATTTATACACTTCATACTGCAAATATAAGCAGATTTTAGCGCCTTTAGATTAAATTGAGCTGTTTTTCCTCCGTATGCTTACTATATGATCCAAAAAAAAAAAAGTCTGATGAATCAAAATTTACCCAGAATATAAGACACAAATCCATTTTTTTCTGGTTTATCATAAATTTTCCACATTTTTTCTCTAAATTAAATATTAAAATTATGCAGAGACTACTTGGAAATTATGTTTCTCTGTATTTACAATGTTAAAGGTTTATTCTGCAAACTACTAATGACATTTCTTTCTAATTATTGTATAAAAAATGTCATTTAGAGCATAAAATGACAATTATTCACAATGAGATTCCACATTTATACACTTTCATTTTCATGTTTAGACAACACAAAACCAATATTTCAACCAAAGAAACCAGCATTAAGCATCCTTACTCAAACCCATACCTAATAAATCCAGACCAGGGCTCAACAATAAGGACTGCCCGGTGGCCCAGGGCCAGCGTGAGAGATGCTTGGGACAGTAGACAGGATCATTACTGGCCCGATTGGGACAGTGCTGCCTTATCACTAACATTTAATTTGTCTTCGACTATTTTTCAATTGCGTGCATTTTAAGTTTGTGCTTTTAAGTCTTTAAACACTACCTTCTCTGTGATGTCGTAAACACCATATTGCTTTCTGGTTCCTCTTATCTGATTTGATGTATTGAGCAAGCTATTTTTTTCAGTAACCTGGTAACAACCAGTACAGCGAAGAAATGGCAACATGGCAGCAACATCAAATTATAAGGCTAAAAGAAAATGTCTGTTTCTAACATCTTGGAAGCAAACATTTTCTGTGTGAACATCGCAACAAAAAAAATTAAGTGATGTTTTGCACAGTTTGCCGTCAGTTTGACAAGTCACCCACCTTTTGTTAAATAATTTCGGACCGCAATAAAATACCTCCACATTTTCCATACTACTCTTTTTGTTTGCATAACACTTTTATTAACAATTTTTTTAAAGTATTGAAATTCTAGATTCACAGACTTTTTTTTAGACACATTATTTAAAATATGCGGCTAAAACATAGCTATTAACTTCCCTTTTTTTTTTTTTTTTGGTGGGGCCAGTAAAAATTTTGGCAGGGCAAGTAAAAATCTGAACCACTTGCCCAATTGGACCAGTAGAAAAAATGCTTAGCGTTGAACCCTGCAGACAATTTTAAGTGTTCTCTTAATTTTGCATCAAATGTACAGTTGAAACCAGAAGTTTACATACACTCTAAAAAAAGGAACATAACCATGTTTTATTAAATGTCTGATAGTAAATCATACTAAACATTTACTATTTTAGGTCCTTCAGGATTACCTAAATCATTTACATTTGCTAAATGCCAGAATAATGACATATTTTCTTTATTAATATCTAGACAGTCAGAAGTTTACTCACATTTCCTTGGTATTTTTTAGCTTTGCTTTTAAACTGTATATCTTTGGGCAAATGTTTTGGGTCTCCTTCCACAAGCTTCTCACAATAGTTTGCAGGAATTCTGGTCCATTCCTCCTGACAGAATTGGTGTAACTGAGTCAGATTAGTCTTGCTCAGTCAAGCTTTTTCAACTCTGCCCACAAACTTTCTATAGGATTGACATCAGGGCTTTGTGATGGCCACTCCAAAACATTCACTCTGTGTTCTCCTTAAAGCACATTTGAACTAATTTGGCAGTATGCTTAGGGTCATGGTCTGTTTGGAAGACCCATTTGTGGCCAAGTTTTAATTTCCTGGCTGATGTCTTGAGATGTTGCTTCAGTATTTCTACATAATGTTCTTTCTACATGATGCCATCTATGCTGTGAAGTGGACCAGTCCCTCCTGCAGCAAAACAGCCCCACAACATGATGCTGCCGCCTCCATACTTCACAGTTGGGATGGTGTTCCTAGGCTCGTAAGCTTTCTCCTTTGTCCTCCAAATGTAACACTGGTCATTACGGCCAAACAGTTCAATCTTAGTTCCGTCAGACCACAGGACATGACTTTAAACATTGGTCTTTTTTTCCCCCAGAGTAATTTAGCAAATTGTAATCTGGCTTTTTTTTTGTTGATTCTGACTTGTTGATTTTCCCATGTTGTCACACAAGGAAGCAGCGTGTTTGAGGTTTTCCCTAAATTCTGTTCTACAGTTGTGCCTCACATTAACTCAAATGTTGTCCATTAGCCAATTAGAAACTTCCAAAATCTTGACATCATCATCTGAGCTTTATCGGAGGCAGAATAATCTTATTGTATGTAAACTTGCCTTTAAAAAAGTTATAACAATTTCTCAACAAATCTCCCTCTCATTATTCTGCTATTAAGCAGAACAGAAACACATTTGATAATCCTGACTTACCTAAAAGAGAAAAAGTTGTCACATTAACATTTGACCTTTTTTAAAATAGTTATTTATGCAGTGTATGTAAACTTCTGCTTTCAACTGTATATATAAAAATGGCATGTCAGTTTTAAAACAAATTACCAACAGATGCATTGCACACTATTTAGTGTACTTACACTGTAGGGATGTACTCGCCGGGGAAGGCATTTGTGGTGTAGCTGATCAGCAGGCAGGTTTTACCCACCGCCCTGGAGAAAAGCACAACAAAAACAGGTATTTCTGAGATACATTAGCACATTTCTAAACTAGCAAATAGCAAGAAAATAAAAGAACTCAATCATCACATTATTGGGGGAGTTCAGGGCAGAATTGACCCCATAATTAATGACTGATCCTACGTGAAGGACGTCAAAACAACATGTATGGGGGTGATCTGTATTTTAAATAATAATATTTATAATTAAAATAATAAATAATATAAATGTACATTTGACCACCCCTATAACGGCTCATACCATTCTGAATTAATAATCGCGCCAATCAATCGGTCACGGTGAGGAAAAAATTTATCCAAACAGTCTGAAATCCCAACCGAGCACAGATGGATATAAGTGTTCATAAGACACTTGTCTTGTAAATTATGACTTGATTTCTACATACAGCCTAAATGTGAAGTAAAATTTGACGCATAGTTTGCATGATTTGTATACATACAGACCTACAAAAACGTCTAAAATGGCTAATCAGAGGATACTGTATGTTGGAATACACTAAATATCCCTCAAAACACTGAAAACTTAAATATGTTTGATTAATAAATTATATGCCATTTAAATAAATACATACATTTGATTCACTGAAGCATGTGGTACCCAGAGTAACGTTAAATGAAAATGTTGACCCCCCCACATCGTCAACATAGTTCGCTCCCTGCAGTATATCATGAATAAGGTTGCATCATGTCAAAGTAGTTACTGCTGCTTGTGTGCTCTTTCTGTGAGTGTTAGTATGTCAAATATAGTGACAGACTCTGTCCCAGATTCACACTCTCGCTCGAGGCAAACACACAGTTTACCAATGAAACGAGCGCCGAGAGCTCGCCGGACGCGGGGATTCGTTGTTTTGAGTCGAATGAAGCGATTCGACTCATGAAGTGATTCGCGAATCAAAACCTGACTGATTCATTGAAGCGAGACAGGTATTATTTCGTAATTGAGCACAATAGCTAGACATTTAAATGAATTTAATTCAGGTTGAAAAGAAAACAGACACTGAAATGCTGCTACAAACACTATGAAGTGTGTTGATGGATGAATTTAGAATTTAAATTAAATTTTAATTAGATGAATTTAGGAATTAACAATGTGTTTCAAATCAACTTGCGCACAATTCTTTATCAACAAAAATAAATGGGAATTCTCAAAAAACAACAGCAACATACTTTTCATTTTAAGATGCACGTTAAATACATTAACAGAAATACAATATAACAAGAAAAGCTCTCCTTAAAGTGACAGCTCACCCAAAATAAAACAAATTCTCCCAGTTTACTTGCCCTTAAGTGTTTTCAAACTGACTTTATCATGTTAAACGCAAAAGAAGATACTCTGAAGACAGCTGAAAACCTTTAACCATTGACTTTTATAGTAGGAGAAACCCGTGGAAGTCAATGGTTACAGGTTTCCAGCTTACTTCCAAGTATCTTCTGTGTTATACAGAAAGGCATACAGGTTTGAAACAAGTAAATGATGACAGAAATTTCATTTTTGGGTGAACTGTCACTTTAAATCTGCCTTACGAGATGCAGTGCACAAATTGTGTTATCTGATTATCAACATACTGATTTACTGTCTTTTTTATAACAAGAAAAAACATACAAGTGTTTATTGTTAAAGGAATCAAAATTATTATAAGTATGAATTATATAATTGTTCGTAAACGAGTTTAAGCGACGGGAAAGTCGGTAAAGTCTAGATGGGATTCTGCTGCAGGATGCATCAATATAGTATCATTTTTGAGACACTGTACAACAATAATTAATATTTTTACATTACTGTAAGAGTAAAGGTTGGGGTAGATGTTAATAAAATACTATTTAATGGGTGATTAAATAAATAATATGAATAATATTCTGTATAATTACTGTTTTTATATTAGTGTGAGGGCTAGAATTGGGGTTGATGTAAATAAAATACAATTTAATTGGTAATTTAATAAATAAAATTAACAATATTCTGTATAATTATTGTTTTTACTTTAGTGTAAGGGCTAGGGGTTGGGGTAGATGTTAATAAAACACAAATTAATGGGTGATTCCATAGATAATATAAATAATACTCGGTATAATTAGTGTTTTTACATTACTGCGGGTGCTAGGGTTTGGGTAGACATTAATAAAATACTATTTAAATAAAATAAAATACTTAAAATACTCATTAAAATACTATTTAATGGGTGATTGAATAAAAAATCTGAATAATACTCATAATTACTGTCTTTACATTACTGTGAGGGCTAGGGATGGGGTAGATGTAAATAAAATACAATTTAATGGGTAATTTAATAAATAATATCAATAATACTCTGTATAATTACTGTCTTTACATTAGTCTGAGGGATAGGGATGGGGTAGATGTAAATAAAATACAATTTAATGGGTAATTTAATAGATAATATCAATAATACTCTGTATAATTACTGTCTTTACATTAGTCTGAGGGATAGGGATAGGGTAGATGTTAATAAAAGACAATTTAAAGGGTGATTGAATAAAAAATATGAATAATACTCCGTATAAATAAGTGTTTTTACATTACTGTGAGGGCTAGAGTTGGGGTAGACATTATTAAAATACAATATAATGCATAATTAAATAAATAGTATTTATAATACTTGGTAAAATGACTGTTTTTACATTAGAGATGCTTAGGTTAAGAGTTGGAGTAGGAGTAAATGTTAATAAAATACAATTAATGTGTAATTTAATGAATAGTATTAATAACACACGGTACAATTACTGTTTTTACATTAGTATAAGAGCTAAGGTTGGGATAGACGTCATTAAAATACAATTTAATGAGTAATTGAATAAATAATACACGGTATTATTACTGTTTTTACATTAGTGTGAGGACTAGAGTAGGAATAAATATTAATAAAATACAATTTAATGAGTAATTTAATAGATAATATGAATAATACTCGGTATAATTATGGTTTTTACATTAATGTGAGGGGCTAGGGTGGTTCTTAAGGCGATTCTTCAAACGAACCGACTCCTGGAACGACTCGGACTTGGCATCGCTAGACAGCGGGGGAAACTCTCGCTCACGTGCATGCGCTCCACACACTTCTTGGTCGCGCGCGAAAGAGGGAGTGGTGACCATAATAACCATAGCTGTTCTGCTTCAGGCTTTTGCCATTCAACATGGGTCAGTAGTACAACACCCTGCTAAACACACTCCATGGCTACAGTCAACAAAAAAACACACATTTGCGTTTAAAGCACGAGCATTTGCTGTCTATTACAAGCCGCACGTGCATTAAAATGCATTACGATGACGTTACACGACTGTTAATTTCTCACGCCCATTATAATATAACATATATACAGATCCTGATATTATTTCCGTTTTAAATGCGTTCTGCATTCATGCTTAAAATCAAATGCAGGTTATTGTGTTGAGCAAACGATAAAATGCAAAGGCCAGAAGTAGGCTTGAATGCATTGCAATAGCACACACAGGCTTTCCAAGGATGCTTCTCTCCATCAGCCCTCCCCAAAAAAAACACTACTCACCCGTCGCCGACCACCACGCATTTAATCGCTTGCATTTGTGGAGAGGCAGGTTGCTTCGCTTCACCGGCGTAAATGTGTTATATTGTGACACGGCTCCTCTTAACCCGAGAAATGAGAGATATCTGCAAAAATACGGTCACTGCCCTCTTTGCAGCAGCGGTTTTGACAGCGAAGCTTTCCGAGACTCGCCGGAAAAAGCCGAGCAGATTTAAAGGGACAGAAGCGCAAACAGCGTCGAGTCGTTGGCTGCGTTGCAGTCCGATTTTGTATGCCCTTCACTCGCTAAATTTTATTTATTCATTTATTTTAGTAACATTTGCTCAAGAACACATACGGGAAAAAAAACAAACAAAGAGCCAAAGGTCGTGAATGTCAAACAACACAACAACAGTGAGCACATTCGCGAGAGAGAAAATATAAATAAATTAAATCATATATAATCACAGGGGCAGATTTAGCGAACTCCAGCCATGGGGCCCAAGTCCTGATGCACCCTTTCTACTTTTAATTAATTATTATTTATTTAGGTGTTTTTTTATATTAATCAGTCTTCTTTTCTATGTTTTGTCTTAATGCAGTCTTTACATTTTGAATGATTAGTTTTCTTAAAATGAATTTACCATAAAAAAGTAAAAAAAAAAAAAAAAAAAAAAAAAATATATATATATATATATATATATATATATATATATATATATATATATATGTATATATATATTTTTTTTTTTGGATGTTTGATATTTTATTTTATAATATTATTATTACATAATATAACATTATTATAATATTTTATTTTAGTGTATATTAAATAATATTTAATCATGTAAAAAATGCTCTCACTATACAAAATATGATAGAAAATTATGTTATATATAGTTTATAGGTATAATTTATACTTCTAGATATTTATTGGGGGCCCCCAGATAAGCGGCAGCTAACCTCGCTTATTGGTTTAATCCGCCCCTGCATAAGCTACATATTAGCACATAGATAATTAAAGTAAACATTCAATCATGTGATAAATATACAAAGAAGCACAGGAATTTACAGTATAAATACATATTACTTAAAAAATAAAAAAAATAAAAACATGGAAAAGTCAACAAACTCACCGGTCACTTTATTAGGTACACCTTACTAGTACCGGGTTGGACCCTTTTTGTTGTCAGAACTGGCCTAATCCTTCATGTCATAGATTAAACAAGGTACTGGAAATATTCCTCAGGGATTTTGCTCCATATTGACATGATAGCATCACGCGGTTGCTGCAGATTTGTCGGCTGCACATCCATGATGCAGATCTCCCATTCCACCGTACCCAAAGGTCGGTATGCTCTATTGGATTGAGATCTGGTGACTGTGGAGGCCATTTGAGTACAGTGAACTCATTGTCATGTTCAAGAACCCAGTCTGAGATGATTCGTGCTTAATGACGGTGCGTTATCCTGCTGCCATCAGAAGAAGAAGACACTGTGGTCATAAAGGATGGACATGGACAGCAACAATACTCAGGTAGGCTGTGGCGTTGACACGATGCTCAATTGGTACTAAGTGTGCCGAGTGGTTATTTGAGTTACTGCTGCCTTTCTATTAGATCAAACCAGTCTGGTCATTCTCCTCTGGCAGCAACAAGGCAAGTGTCCACTTCTGGCGGAGCATCTGAATGGGTTTCAATGGAGTGCCCTAAACCCTTGAGCACTTGGGAATTACACTGTTGTGACGTCACAATTGGAGCGAACACATGAAGCCGACTCACTCCCTCAGACAAAATCAAGCCATTGAGGGTATGTCCATGTATTGTAAGCTTCCCTCATTAACTTAATGAAGTTGAACGCTGCTTCTTCAAACTACTTATAAAATATGAGTTGAACCAACACAATTCTTACGTTTTTTTTGCGGCACGGTGGCTTAGTGGTTAGCACTGTCGCCTCACAGCAAGAAGGTCACTGGTTCGAGTCCTGGCTGGGCCATTTGGTGTTTCCGTGTGGAGTTTGCATGTTCTCCCCATGTTTGCGTGGGTTTCCCCCACAGTCCAAAGACATGCGCTATAGGGGAATTGAGTAAGCTAAATATGGTTTCCCAGTACTGGGTTACAGCTGGAAGGGCATCCGCTGCGTAAAACATATGCTAGAATAGTTGCCGGTTTATTCCGCTGTGGCGACCCCTGATAAATAAGGGATTAAGCTGAAGGGAAATGAAACTTATTTGTTTTATGTTCAATCTATTTAAATATGTAAAAATGATTAAGCTAACTTAATTATTTTGTGTTGGGACAACATGAAGGAATGGTGCAGAACCCAGCATTTTCTACAATGCATGATATTTTAAATTCTAATAATTCAAATGCAAATGATTTCACATTAATATTTACATGTTTCTTGACAGCACAGTTTGGTCAAAAGCACACCTTTTATTTATCAGCCAACACACGTTTCAAAAGTAGAAAACATTTTAAAATGCAACTGCAGGTGCCATAGCCCAGTGTTTCTCAACCACGTTCCTGGAGGACCACCAGCACTGCATGTTTTGGAGGTCTCCTTTGTCTGTCACGCCCGTTACAGGTCTTTCAGCCTTCGCTAATGAGCTGATGATCTGAATCAGGTGTGTTTGGTTAAGCAGACCTGGAAAATGCGCAGAGCTGGTGGTTATTCAGGAACGTGGTTGAGAAACACTGCCATAGCCGAATAATTCTGATGGACAATATGGCACATCTTTTAAAAACAGACATGTGAAAACTTCAGCATTAAAAAAAAAATAATAATAATAATAAATTGAGAAGTTCATCAAATGAGTTCCCTGATTAATTGCGAATAACGAAACTCCACATTTACTAAATAAATACATGTGCACAGGTGTCAATTCCAGTTCCTGGAGGGCCGCAGCTCTGCACAGTTAAGTTTCAACCCTGCTCCAACACACTTACCTGTAGGTTTTAGTCAAGCCTGAAGGACTCGATTAGTTTGATCAGCTGTGTTTAATTAGGGTAGGAACTGGAGGGCAGCCCTCCAGGAACTGGATTTGACACCTGTGATGTCGATGCATTTAAATAGTAAGACATTTTGGTGTCATTATTAGGTCACACTTTACAATAAGGTTGTATTAGTTAATGATAGTTAATGCATTTACTTACATGAACAAACAATGAACAACACATGTATTTATTTTTGTTCATGTTAGTTAATGAAAATGCGGTCGTTCATTGTTAGCTCATGTTAACTCACGGTGCATTAACTAATGTCAACAAACCTGAATTTGGTTGCTAATAATGCACAACTATATGCCGAATTATGAATCATAAATGCTGCATATGTATTGTTCATAATTAGTTCACGTTATTGAATACATTAACTAATGAAACCTTATTGTAAAGTGTTCCAATTCATGAAAACGTTCCCCTCAGATGCCGTTATTCAGTAGATTTTGTTTGTGCATAGTTGAATAGCACCTTGGACGATCGACTCGAGTTCACTTCTTAGGGCTGAAGTGTGCCAGCGGGGAGCCCTGCACGTATGTGAGGATGGCGTTCTGGAGGAAGCTGGCTCTCTGGGCCTCGTCCTCTCGTATGCGCTGGATCTCTCCTTCCCGAATGCGCAGGCGCTCCAGCAGAGACGACATCTCGCTCTCTTTGTCCAAAAGGGCCTCTCTGTGGGCGACACTGAGCGCTGATCCAAAACACAAACACTGAGTCAGTCAGCCATCAGCTGCTTGAGGTTACATAACACACACACACACACACACACACACACACACACACACACACACACACACACACACACACACACACACACACACACACACACACACACACACACACACACACACACACACACACACACACACACACACACACACACACACACACACACACACACACACACACACACACACACACACACACACACACACACACACACACAAACAAACAAACAAACAAACAAACAAACAAAAGCAACTCCTGCATTTTAGCTGCATGGACAATTCAAGACATTTAGAGGTGCTCTATGCAAGATTTTGACTCTTCTAAATCATAAAACTCCCGTCATATGTTTGCAGATATTTAAGAAACATTCTAGGTTAACACTTGTCCTTTATTCAGCTGCAATGACTTCTCGAGCGAGTTTTGCACTCAAGTCTGCATTGATGCATCCTCGATATCAAGAACACCTCCAGGAACTTTCACAGTCCTCCATTGTTGCCATGGTGAAGGTACACGAGAACACAAGAATGCTGAACACCGCATATTGAGAAACAGCCTCTATCACCAGCCCACTGCCAGTTTACCCAATTATATTTCAGCACTCCAAGTTCCCTTGGTGGAAAACAGACTATTTTATTTAAGTCAGGGGTCACCAACATGGTGAGCAAGCCCGCGAGGATCACATGTGTTGCCCGCAGGCCTGTTCTAAAAATAGCCCACCATAGCGCCACTTACCAGTAAGCTTCATCTAATATTTTTTGTAGCTATCCTTTCTAAATCACATTTGCATTAGTGTAAATTTGAGTTATATGTAGGCCCACACGGAATCTGCGTGCGCAGAATTCCGGAGATTTTCCACAGATTTTCTGCAGAATTCTGGAGATTTTCCACAGATTTACCACAGAATTCCGCAAATTTTCCACAGATTTTCCTCAAAATTCCAGAGATATTTTTCGCAGAATTCCGCAGATTTTCCGCAGAATTCCGGAGATTTTCTACAGATTTTCCGCAGAATTCCGCAAATTTTCCACAGATTTTCCTCAGAATTCCAGAGATATTTTCCGCAGAATTCCTCAGATTTTCCGCAGAATTCCGCAGATTTTCCGCAGAATTCCGGAGATTTTCTACAGATTTTCCGCAGAATTCTGGAGATTTTCCACAGATTTTCCGCAGAATTCCACAGATTTTTCGCAGAATTCCGGAGATTTTCCACAGATTTTTCGCAGAATTCCACAGATTTTCCGCAGATTTGTGCAGATTTTTAGCCCATCATTAATTCTGTTTATTTAATTGAGTAAATGTGTAAATCTGAATTTATTCTGTTTTTATTCAGTAATTTATTACTTTTTATTTAATGTATTAAGGTTTTAGTTATGATACTCTGCTGGATTCTCCCAAAATAATTCTGCAGAAATCCACAGATTTTTACCAAAATTCTCCGCAGAAATAGCAAAAAACGTCCGCAGATTCCGTCTGGCCCTGATTATATGTAAAAAAAAACTTTTTAAAATATATCATATTAGATCAGAGCTAGCTGGTCTCCACAGTGCAGTAAAGAGGAGGAGATGATTTGAAAACATGGCAAAAAAAAATACAAAAAAACATATCGTTTTCACAGTGAATAGGAAGATGAGTTCTTTTTTACTTCATTTGATGACGGCAAATCGACACAATATTGAGAGACATTTCAGAATGTGTCACACAAGCTAATCTTACCAAGCTGACCCACACCAGGCAGCGTACTACAAGTAAAAACAGTCCGGAAGGTTTGTGAAAACAGCAGTCTTTTTTCACGAGACAGGCGAAAACCTCAAAAACAGCAACCGAAACCTCATTTAGAGCTACATATTTTTTTATTAAAAAAAAAAAACAAGGCATTTTTAGACAGGAAAGCAAACCTGTGCTTAAAGACGAGAATGGATGTAATCTCCACTCTCTCCGATGTCCAACTCGGGGCAACTACAAAGGTTAGAAGAGTGTCGGCTATGTTCAAAATGCAGTAGATTTGGTGATCATTTCAGTAAAATCTGAATGTTGATTTATATTACACAATTGATAATCTGTTCAAACATGGAACAACGTAGTGCATGATTTGTTAAAAATTGCTAGTGGCTAATGAAAATCATTTTAAAATGTAAATATTTGCAGAGATATATAAAAATAAAGTGTTGCACATTGATGCATTAAATACAGGGTATTTCCTACCCTGTTAAATCATTGTTGATAAATTTTGTGAGAATCATTATCATGATCAGTGTTTTCACATAGATGAATATCATCAATTATTACCAATAACATAAAGTATAATTAAAAGTAAATTGAGCAAATTTGTTATTTAAGAAGTGTTTATCAAACTAGTAGCCCTCCACATTAATCAGTACCCAAGAAGTAGCTCTCAGTTTCATAAAGGTTGGTGACCCCTGATTTAAGTCATGGAGGCCGCCTCAATGTATGGCTGAAAATGCGGCCTCCAGATGACAGCAGCAAAAAAATGAAAGTTGGTAATGTGTGTGTACCCTTTATCTCTCTCTCCAGAGCGGCAATCTTCTCTTTAAGGCCTCCCTGTGCCGTTCTCTCGGCCTGAAGGTGTCCGATCTGCTCCTGCAGCTCCACTCGCACCCGCGTCACCTCTGACACTTTCTCTTGCTCTTTACCTGCAAGATCCTGCCATTGACACATCATCTGTTATTCATCTAAATTAGGGTTATTACTGCTAATGCAATCCCTTGACAATTGAACTAAAAACCAACACTAAAGTAGTTATTTTTGACACCACTAAAAGAAGGATTACAGGGCTCAACATTAAGGACTGCCCGATGGCCCGGAGCCAGCGAGTGAGATGCTCGGGACAGTAGACAGGATAGTTACTGGCCCGATCGGGCCACTGCTTTCTTGTTCCTAAAGTTTAATTTGCCTGTGACTATTTGTCAATTGCATGCAAATAAAGTTTTAGAATTGAGAAACAGTTCGTATTTTCAAGCCTTCAAATGCTACCTTCTTGGTTCTTCTTATCTGATTGGATGTTGTGAGCACGTTAATAGTACAGCGAAGAGACAGCAACATGGCGGTGAAATCAAATGGTGATGCTAAAGGAAAACATTTTCTTCTAACATCTTGGAAGCAGACATATACCAGGGTACACCACGACTAAAAAAAAAAGTGATCTTTTGTACAGTTTGCCATCAGTTTGGCAGGTCTTTAACCATCTTTTGTTTCAAAACACTTTGAATTTTGCTCATTACACATATATTAATTTTTTTTTTTAAATATTTAAATTCTATATTTACAAACATTTACAAAAATTTTGACACATTTTGTTTATTTGTGGCTAAGAAATTAACTTTTTTTTGGAGGGGCTAGTGAAAATATTGGCAGGGCAAGTAAAAATCTGAACCACTGGTCCGATTGAGCCAGTAGAAAAAATCCTTAGCGTTGAACCCTGGATTAGGTCTTTGTAATAAACCTGCAATTCTGAGTATTTTCTTGCAGATTAGTTAGAATAGAGAAAATATAGTCAGGAATTCTCACAACTTGCAATACCGAGGGGGGAAATAGAAAGGGGTTATAAATCTTTAAGAGTTTCTTTCTTCTGTTTAATACAGAACAACATATTTTGAAAAATGTTGAAAACCGGTAACCATAGTGTAGAGCAGTGTTTCTCAACTGGTGGTCATTTTCAGTGGGTCGCGGAGTGTGTGATTAAAAAAAACAAAACAACAAAAGTAAAGATTTGTACTTATTTTGCTTATACCGGACTTTTATTTTGAAATCCGTGCGCAACAACCATACCGTTTGACATGTGAAATTTCATTTAAGTGTTGCAACAAATTTGTTAAATCGCAAGTACGACCCCGAATATGTAAAGTATGGATATATATACATATATGATGACAAAAAAGACTTAAAGCCTCAGTGTCATGTGTAGTGAGGTGCTCTCATAAGAGAGCATGAAACCTTCTAAATTAAAACAACATTTAGAAACCAGAAAACATGTTTTATTAACAGTTTATTATTAAAAGTATTTGTCGTTTTTACTAGGTAATATTTCTATAATTTGATATATTTTGTTCAATGACAGCAATAAAATATTATTTATTTGTAAGTCTTGGTGGATTTCTTATGATGTATCGGTCACTACTTGTTTATGTTAGCAAATTAATACAAATTAATTATAATTCCTAAAATTGTATTATAGTTTCTAAAAATTTGTGTCACGGCTTGATGACCATGTAAAAATGTGGGTCCCATTGCCAAACCAGTTGAGAACCCCCGGTGTAGAGTATATAAAGAAATCAGAAAGTGAAATTCAAGAGCTTTTAAATGGGTGGTCCACTAAGATATCATATGTTAAACTGTGTAGCTGTGTGAGCATAAACAACATCTCTGAATGTAAGACGCTCAAAGTTTAATGCTAAGGGTGACATTGGCTTTTACAGAGCTAGTTTAGCTTAGAAGTTTGGGGACTACAGAAAAATACATCCGGGCTAGTGAAATCACAAGCGCTTTAGGTTACACGCATTCATCACATGCACACACCCTGCACACCGAAGAAGCGTGGCCAGAGGCGCTGTAATGTTACAGCAGAGAAAGTTAAAATGGCGTAAAAATGCTGCTATTTTCACAGAGCTTCTTCGGTTTCTGTTTTTGGGCTTCCAAAGGACACGACACCAAAAGAGAAGTGCTTACAGTTTAATTCAATTATGTTCTAGAGCAGGGGTTGGGAACCTTTTTTTAGCAAAGAGCCATTTTTGATTTTTTTAGCAAGTGCATTTTTTAAAGAGCCATTTAGATGTACATATGTATCTCCAAATGCCTGTATTTGCTACTGTATTACTACTATAAATAATGGTTTAAACTAAACCTTAATTTATGTCCATGCACAACTCAAAAATAAACAATTATGAAGCATCACATGTTGAGCAAGTCCACGAATGAAGAAAAAAAATATTTATAGCATTTTTATTTTCACCATCACCATTCATGAATGTTGTCAGAATTTAAAGGGCACCTAGGTTACCCCTTTTTTCAGATTTAATATAAGTCTTTTGCGTCTCTAGAATGTGTATTTAAAGTTTCAGATCAAAATACCCATCAGATTTTTCATTGTACCTTTTACAAGATGCTGTCTTATACTGATTTCCAGCAGGGGGTGGTTTTGTCGTACTGTTCCTTTAAGACGAGTCTTTCCCGCCCACTGTTTCTACATGCCTCCTCCCTCAGCTGCGTCAGACAACAGACAGACTTAAAGGAAGGTCTCACGTAGCGTCTCAAAAAAACAAACTTGCAAAAGATATGTGAACATTTTATATAACTTACACATGCTTATTCCGAAAATATGTGAAAGACACTTGTCAGATTTTATTTTAGAGAGTAGGCGAGAGGTTCAGCTGTGTGCTTTTAATTTTCTGTCTGATTCAGGCAAACTGATAATGCTGTTTGCACAACACAAAAGCTTGTGCTTGTAGGAGCGTGATGTGGAGCCAATCCACAAATCACAGCACATTATGTTAGCTGACCAATCAGAGCCTCTTGAGGACGGGCTTTTCCGAGGAACTAGTAAATATGACAGTGGTTTTCATGTTAGCTATATATGAACAAATAACCTTTTTTATCTACAAGTGAAGCATGAGCACACTTTGCTTTGCATTTTATAAACACAACCAAGCCTTAAAAAAACACTCTGGACCACCCCTTTAAGACTTTTTTAAGACTCTTTCTATACATTTTTTAAACCTCATCACCACTGTTTCAATCATTAACATTGGCAACCTTTTTTCTTTAAGTATATTTACTAAACACCGATTGTAAGAAACTAATTATGAACTAAAACATTATTCATATACTGAATAAAAATGCTAATCCAGAAGGGGGCGTCAGCAGGATTAACGGTGTCAACGCGATGTCAAATCTATAAGGATTTTATCGATGTCATAAACTACACGGCATCCCAATATTCGCAGATCAAATTCAAGCAAACTTTAGCATACAGCTAGACATTGTACAATCAACATTTACTACCTAGTAACAAAGCATTTAATACTTCTTATAGGCCTTAAATTTCTCTAAATTGATTGATCAACTTTTAATACTTTTTAAGACACCCTGTAGTGAGAAAACAAATACTATGGAAGTCCATGGTTATCGGTTTCCAACATGTTTCAAAATATCTTCTTTCTCGCTACACAGAAGAAAGAAAGTCTTAAGGGTTTTTGACAAGCGAGTGTTGAGAAAATGATGACAGAACTGTAGTTTTGTGGACAGTGAGAAACATTTGAGTTTCTGTGGTCTGGATATGGCGGTGATCTGGATTTATGCAGTACCTGCTGGAGCTCGTCTATCCTGCGGCGGAGCGAGTCCGTCTCAATGCTTTGCTGGCTGACTTTAGCGTGCAGCTCTGCGATGGTTTGCTTCTGCTGCGTGCAGTGATTCTGTGACTCGTCTCGAGACTGACGAACCGCTCGCAGTTTCTCCTCCAGGCTGGTCAAATGCTGCTGCTGCGGAGAGAAGCAAACATCTCATGACTCTGACCAACAAAACCAAGACTGTGATCATTTATGAAATGCTAACAAACCTCCTCCAGTCGCACTTGAGAACGAACTTTCCCGAGCTCCTCTTCTGCTTGAGCTCTTTCCGTCACGAGACTCGCCTTCACTCTGCTCAGCTCCTGCAAGTGCCAAACTACAGTTAAAGTCAAAATAATTTTGTAACTTATAAAACGCATAAGCTTACATTACCAAAGGAAAAAGAAAAAAAAAAAGAATAATTATTAAACAAGCAGGGTATAGAACAGGGATGTCAAACTCAATTCTTGGAGGGCCGCAGCCCTGCACAGTTTAGTTCCAACCCTAATTAAACACACCTGATCAAACTAATTGAGTCCTTCAGGCTTGTTTGAAACCTACAGGTAAAGCTGCTGTCACGCTTGACTTTTCTCCCCATAGACTTTTAATTCATCCGTCAGACTGGAAACGTAGGGTCAAGTTTCGCAGGTTGCCGCGGTGCAAAGTTCAAGCTTGGTGAACTCGGACCTGCGGAATCGCATCACTTCACTGCATGAGACCAATAATGGATCAAAACATGACCTCTCTGGACAGAAATGTAAAAAAATGGAGCAATTGCTCGCTTTTTTTAAATGTCTAATAAGCTTGTTTAATCCCGCTCCTTTTCACAGCGCCGCACGACAGAATATCGCATGCTCAAACTCTAAAGTGACCACAGCTTTAGTGTGTTGGAGCAGGGTTTGAACTAAAATGCGCAGGGCTGCGACCCTCCAGGAATTGAATTTGACACCCCTGGTATAGAACAATGTTAAGGGGACCTTACACAGTTACATAAACAGTTAAGGTCATGGATATCTATTTTAGCACTGTTTAATCTCAGAGTGCAAAAATTCTTTCCACTTACTCCATTTTAATTCTTTTTTTTCTTTTTTAGTAATATTTTGTTTTATTTACGATTTTTATAAGATTTTTAGCAAACACAGTACAATACAAATAATAATACAAAAATAATAATAAATACAATACAAAATAATTGACATTAGCCCCATCCCACAACCTCAAAACAAAAAAAAACAAAAAACAAAAAACAAACAGTTATCAAATATACATAAGTATACACATGACATATGTAGCATAAACAAATTTTTAAAAAGATGACAGTATTCAAATTTCTACAAAGTCAGTGTCATGAATATATGAGTTAGAGATGAAAATTTCCAAAGGTAAAATGCTAGATTCCCAAGAGTCTTAAAATAGGTCCCCATGTGGTTTCAGCTTTTTTCTGTGAAGTTTCAAGACGTAGTCGTTCCATTTGAATGACATAAAGCAGCTCATTCAACCATCTCTTAAAACAGGGAGCCTTTGGAGACTTCCAATTAAGTAAGATCATCTTTTTAGCTGTGATCATGCCAACCATCAGGGCTTGCTGTTGGGTTGAAGGAAAAGTGTCCAATATGTTTGAATATCCAAAAATAGCCAAATTGTAGTCAGGTTGGAAAGTGGTTCCATAAGCACTGGAAAACAACTCAAAGATGCTGGACCAAAACTCATAAGTTACAGGACAAAACCAAAATAAATGTGCCAAAGTCCCCTCTGCTCTACCACATCTGTCGCATTTAGGAGATACAGAGGGAAAGATTTTACTTAATCTAGTTTTAGAGAAATGAAGGCGATGTAAAACTTTAAATTGAATTAATTTATGTCTTGAATTTATAGAAGCTTTTTTGCTTCTTTTCTTGATAGGGCTTCCTCCCAGATCTCATCAGCCACTTCTTCATTTAAATCCATGGCCCAAGCTATCTTAATGTGCTTAGTGCATATTGGAGCCTCAAAAACACGAACAAAGCTTGATATTAGGTGTCTAGTATAAGGGTTTGAGGATAGAAGTTTCTGAATAATATGACTTTCTGGTTTGTTTATAAATTGTGAGATATTTTCCTTTACATAGTTTCTAATTTGCAGATAGCGAAAGAAATGAGACTGCACTCCATTTTAATTCTAATTGGTTATCGTTATCAGTTGAAATGTACATATTGGTCAATGGAAGACAATGGAAAAGTCTTACTGGTACAGGGGCTGTCCAAACTCGGTCCTGGAGGGCCGGTGTCCTGCAGATTCTAGCTCCAACTTGCCTCAACACACCTGCAAGGATGTTTCTAGAAAGCCTAGTATGAGCTTGATTAGCTAGCCCAGGTGGGTCTGATTGGGGTTGGAACTAAACTTTGCAGGACACCGGCCCTCCAGGACCGAGTTTGGACATGCATGTACTAGGAGGATACTAATTTAAAGATTAGCTTCACATCATGACTACAGTATATTCCTTTAAGCGTGAGTTTAGTCATGTGAATCATGTACCTCTTCTAATTGGATCCGCTGTCCCTCCAGCTTGAGGATGCGCTCCTGAAGAGCTCTTTCACTGTCCTCCTGGTGTCTTGTCAGATGGTCAACCTGGAAGACAAAATAAAATACTTTTTTTAAGGACAGTTCCCCCAAAAACGAATGTTTCCCCATCATTTACTCACATTCAAGTGGTTCACAAAAGAAGATATTCTGTAGAATGTTGGAAAAAGGAGCCATTGACATCAATAGCAGGAATACTATGGATGGCTTTGTTTCCCAACATCCTTCAGAATATCTTTGTGTTCAACAGAAGAAAGAAACTCAAACAGGTTTGAAGCATGTGGAGAATGATGGCAGAATTGACATGTTTGAGTGAACTAGCCCTTTAAGTAAACATTTTTCTGGGTTTAACATCGTCGGCTTGATATTTAACCCTTGTATATTGTTTAAGTTGGCTACCCTTTGTTATGTTGGTTGCTGTTTTTGCCCTATTGACTTACATTATAACCATATTTCTTAATTGCAAAGCCTTGATAACAAATAATCATGCATTCTCGATTGTTGCTGGTTTTCCCTGTTGGGAAGAGGTAAAAATGGTAAGTTTTACTGTTTATCGTCAATTGGCAGCATTGACCCTTTACATAGGCCTGTGCAAAAAAGTTTCAGTCTTTTATATGGAGTTATATGGAGTAATCTAACTAATTATAGTGTGTAAGCAGAAATACACTTATTGTTCACTATGTTCTGAGGGCTGAGCTGCTTATTTTGATTTTCTCAGATATATAACTCCCTATAAAATCCAGAAACTAAACTCTTTTTTGCACTGCAACTGATGCTCAACAGCAACAATTACAAATTTGACCTCCTTCCAACAGGGAAAGCCAGCAACAATCAAAAATGCATGATTATATGCGGTCAAGGCTTTGAAAATGCAAAAATGTCATTATAATGAAAGTCAATGGGGCAAAAACAGCCCCCAACATAACGAAAGGGTAGAAAATTTAAAAGTATTGTTGAGTTTTTGAAAATTTTCAAAGCATTTTCCCAAAATATGTGTCAAAATAAGGTTTGTTATTAAATTTGCTGAAACAGAGAAAGTTGTGGGCAAGTTCATTCATTCATTCATTTTCTTGTCGGCTTAGTCCCTTTATTAATGTGGGGTCGCCACAGTGGAATGAACCGCCAACTTATCATTACCCAACTTATCATTACCCTTATCATTACCCAATTCACCTGTACTGCATGTCTTTGGACTGTAGTGGAAACCGGAGCACCCAGAGGAAACCCACGCAAACGCAGGGAGAACATGCAAACTCCACACAGAAACGCCAACTGAGCCGAGGCTTGACCCAGCGACCTTCTAGCTGTGAGGCGACAGCACTACCTACTGCACCACTGCTACGTTGTGGGCAAGTTAAGACTCAAAATCACCCCAGAGTGGATGACTACATTTTAACGTTTATTTTAAGGACGTTAACACTGAGGGTTATTTTTTTTTTAAAGCAAACTACAGTTATAGAGAAGTAACAGATGCAAAAATCATCTATATTTAACTATATTGTCAATATTTTATTTTCAGTTGAACATGATAAAAAGTGGTTTCTTGTAAAATCACATTAAACAATTCCCTGAATGAACTTCAGAAAAAAAACTAACATTTTCTTGTAAATAAAACTAGTGCAGTCCAACATCTTCACCTCTTTCTGCCTTAAACCGTCCATGTCTTCAAGTGCCTGCTTTGCTCTTCTCTTCTCCATTTCTAGTCGTTCTAATGATACAAAAGAAACACTCCAAATGTTAAAAACTGAAATATACACAGTTGAAGTCAGAATTATCAGCCTGCCTCTATATTTCCCCCCAATTTCTGCTTAACGAAGAGAGATTTCTTTTATCTTTGCCATGTCTGACAGCACTTAATATTTGGCTAGATATATTTCAAGATACTAGTATTCAGCTTAAAGTTACATTTAAAGGCTTAACTAGGTTAATTAGAAAAGTTAAGAGTAATTAAGCAAGTCCTTGTATAACATATGTGTTTTGTTCTTAGATGACCGAAAAAAATATTGCTTAAGGGGCTAATAATATTGACCTTAAAATGCTTTTTAAAAAAAATCAAAACTGCTTTTATTCTAGCCGAAATAAAACAAATAAAACTTTCTCCAGTAAAAAAAAATATTATAGGAAATACTGTGAAAAATTCCTGAATCTGTTCAACATCATTTGAGAAACATTAGAGAAAGAAATCACCGGAGGGTGAATAATTCTGACTTTAACTGTATTAATATAGTATTGTAAAGCAGCATCTGTCCGTGAACCAAACCAAACCAAAGATCTATGAGGAGTATCACAATGTTACATATTTTATTATAAGCATAGAAGCATTTAAAAGCTGGACATAAATGTTAGGTACTTAATGGCTTTAAATGGGTCATTTCTGATAATACATCTCTGCCGTCTATAGAAACTTCAGCTGCAAATATTCATCAGATCATTTAGCAGGAATACTATGGATGGCTTTGTTTCCCAACATCCTTCAGAATATCTTTGTGTTCAACAGAAGAAAGAAACTCAAACAGGTTTGAAGCATGTGGAGAATGATGGCAGAATTGACATGTTTGAGTGAACTAGCCCTTTAAGTAAACATTTTTCTGGGTTTAACATCGTCGGCTTGATATTTAACCCTTGTATATTGTTTAAGTTGGCTACCCTTTGTTATGTTGGTTGCTGTTTTTGCCCTATTGACTTACATTATAACCATATTTCTTAATTGCAAAGCCTTGATAACAAATAATCATGCATTCTCGATTGTTGCTGGTTTTCCCTGTTGGGAAGAGGTAAAAATGGTAAGTTTTACTGTTTATCATCAGGTGGCAGCATTGACCCTTTACATAGGCCTGTGCAAAAAAGTTTCAGTCTTTTATATGGAGTTATATGGAGTAATCTAACTAATTATAGTGTGTAAGCAGAAATACACTTATTGTTCACTATGTTCTGAGGGCTGAGCTGCTTATTTTGATTTTCTCAGATATATAACTCCCTATAAAATCCAGAAACTAAACTCTTTTTTGCACTGCAACTGATGCTCAACAGCAACAATTACAAATTTGACCTCTTCCCAACAGGGAAAGCCAGCAACAATCAAAAATGCATGATTATATGCGGTCAAGGCTTTGAAAATGCAAAAATGTCATTATAATGAAAGTCAATGGGGCAAAAACAGCCCCCAACATAACGAAAGGGTAGAAAATTTAAAAGTATTGTTGAGTTTTTGAAAATTTTCAAAGCATTTTCCCAAAATATGTGTCAAAATAAGGTTTGTTATTAAATTTGCTGAAACAGAGAAAGTTGTGGGCAAGTTCATTCATTCATTCATTTTCTTGTCGGCTTAGTCCCTTTATTAATCTGGGGTCGCCACAGTGGAATGAACCGCCAACTTATCATTACCCAACTTATCATTACCCTTATCATTACCCAATTCACCTGTACTGCATGTCTTTGGACTGTAGTGGAAACCGGAGCACCCAGAGAAAACCCACACAAACGCAGGGAGAACATGCAAACTCCACTTTAGACTGTCC